GCCCGGTATTTTCTCTGAGATTTACATCAGACTAAGGTAAGTGTGAATTAATAAAATCATTGTAAATAACATGTTTACCATAACACAACGGCAAAGTTTTTAAATGTCATATTTTTTTCTGAACCGTATTTTCTAGCCCATTGCCTTCAGTTACTGCGTGCACTGACAGCGTCCTGTGTTTCCTTTCCAGACATAAATAAATATCAGACGAAGGTAAGTGCAAATAAAAACCTTTTCATAAAACCTTTTTAAATAGAGTATTTAACTAAACATAATATTGAGTGTTGTTGATTTAAATTGAGTGCGTTTATGTTTGAGTTGTTAACGTATTCTCCTTTGACAAATCAGCAGACACTTCCTTCTCAACTGTTCTCAGAGGCTTCAGAAACAGTAACTCACTGAAGGAAGAACTGCTGCTGACTTTTGATTTGTGTGAGGCAAAGAAGGCAGAAAAGGTGTTTTTTAGCAACATACTTAAAATTATATCATAATTGTTAAAGTGCAGTGTAAATTTCACTCCTTTTGTTTGTTTCAATGTTCTAGTAAGTGTAAAAATCTACCATGTACTTAGTTTTATTATGATGTAATTTACTGTGTATATTTATGATTGTTTTTAGGCCAGGTGGTAAATGCTGCCATTCTTCACGAATAGGCTACTGCTGCTCTTCAAAGATCTGAGTCATCAATAAGGTAACGCACACAAAGAGTTTTTGTTTGAATACATTTCAGTTTCCCAAGTTATCTTGTATTTTTATTTAGTTACTGAAACGGCAAGAAAGCACTTTGACTTGCTTTGATTATTTCCATTCTTGTTGCTGTCCAACTAGCAAAATTGCTTTGTATTGTTTTTATTATTATATCACTCTAACCGGTGCTTAAACAATGAGTACTGTACAATGTATAGAGAAAATGTGTCTTAATTTTATTTATTTATTTTAATCACAGGATCCTCCGATCCCTGCCCCAACCATTCATCTGAAGGACTGCCACTGTTGGTCCAAAGGGTCTCATTGCCGCAGTTTACCCAGGATGAGATCTCGCTGATGTTAGCCTGCAGCACTGACACATTTTTTGGTTTTCCAGCATATTTTTAATATTTGAACCCATTCTAAAAGTGACTGTAAGATGTTGAGATCTATCTATTCACACCGAGGACAACTGAGAGACACACAGAACTATTACAAAGGGTGAAAGATAAGATAAGTTAAAGTAGATGACAATATTTACAATAACAGACAATGTCTGTTGCTGTTCATTACACTGTGTTTTTAATTGTTCTGGTAAATTGTTCTGATCTGGTCAATTTCACTTTTAAATGACCGATTTCTAAAGAAATTTTTAATCAATTGATTTAATTTACTACAAGTATTGTAATTGTATTTTTTACTGATCAAATGTTAATATACAATGTTCAGTCAGTATGCATTATAGAAGTTAAGATATGTAATGTAAGCCTAATAAAGCTGTTGATGTGAAAAACAAAACTTGGTTTAATGATTTATAATTTATTTAAAATGTATTTAATAATAAGTAAACAACAAAATATAAACTGGAAAATTTGAGTTTACTCCATTTGCCTTTTAAGTTATCTTTACTTAAACATTTAAGTTAATTCAACAAGAAGACCACATTAGGTCAACTCAATTAATTAAGTTTGAATTTTCCCATTACTCAAAAAAACTTACGCAACCACTTTCCTCAAATCATTTGAGTAGTCTCAACTTATTAGGGTTTACAGTGTGGTAGCCTACTGTTTGAATCACGAGCAACTAAAACCCCTGGATGCTAGCTGCCCCTGCGATCCAAAATAACGACGCGGGTATGATTTTAGTTGAGGCTGTCTTGGTTTCTCGGCTGGGCCATGGCTTAAATCCCCGTTAAATCCACTCAGCCGTCAGGATTCCCACCATCCGTGCCCGCTGTGGCGTAGCAGCTCTTGCGGGCTCGCGGGAGCGCCTTGAACGCTATGACGCAAGGCGCAGCGACGTTCATGGGGCGTCGCAGTGATTCTATGTTTATATTTTTTTATATGTCGAATAAATTATTCATTACTATTGTTCTGCGTAGTTTGAAGAGAAACATTTTTAAATCTTTATATATTTATTAATCAGGAAGGGAGTGGGGGGTCACATGGGGGGTCAAAGCGTTTTTTGGGAGGGTCTTGAGACCCCCCAAGACCCCCCCCTGGCGCCGCCACTGTATGTGTGTCGAAGCGCACGCTTCCAGGGTCAGTGGAGGCATGAGACAGCGATTACCCAGTCTAGGTCTTGAGTGATCCTGCAAATAACGAGGATATTTCGAGGGCCAGTAAAGGTTCGCCGTGTTGCCAGCAGAGAGCACAATAACACAGAGAGGTGAAGCTGCGCGTCGGGGACATTCACAGATCAAGCGGGCCCTCACTGCCCTGCTCTTCCTTCCTAAAGAGATAACGGTGACTGTGGTGCTGGAGAGAGGAAGAAGAGAATGAAGGCTATTTATTTCCCATAGGCTATTGTTATATACTGTATATATATATATATATATATATATATATATATATATATATATATATATATATTTTTTTTTTTTTTTTTTTTTTTTTTTTTTCAGAAGCACATTAGACAATTTCCCCAAATGGCATTCTATTGCATCGCATTTCATACAATTTCTGCAACAATCAACAACCACAGTTTGAGTTCTTCGTGGTTTTGCTGCTTTTTTATTGACCAAATTAAAATAATTGTATTGAATTAGTTAGTTAGTTAACTTAGGCCTGGTTTCACAGACAGGTCTTAGATTATAAACCAGAATTAGGCCTCAGTTCAATTAGGACATTTATAGCTTTATATATCTAAAACAATTACTGGTGTTCATCTTGATACAAAACAATGGCATATATGCAGATTTAAGATAGGCTAATAGTGCAAGTTGCTTTCAGTTAAAACAGCTCAAACGCATTTTAATCTGGGACTAAGCTTAAGCCTCGTCTGTGAAACCGGGTTAATAATTTAACAGAATGTTTTTTGCGGTTGTTCTTCAGGTGACTGATAGTCTGTCTCTTTACGATGCATTTTCGGTAAATTCACGTCTTGAATTTTACTTTGCTTCTTCGAGGCCTAGGCTATGTGAGCTAGACACTTTATTTAGCCAAATACTCTCAATCAATGTTAAACCCATATCCATATGTCTAAAATGATAGGTAGGCCTAATGTTTAGAATAGGCTACGGTTTAATCAGTGGCGAAAACAATTGTGTTGTTGCAGCGCTAGATATTGCTACCGACAGACCAGGTTCGATGTCATGATCATTCTGTGGGCTATCTTACGACCAATTCGTACGAGTGATTAAAAGGTGGCTAATTCGTACGAATTCATACGACCTCACTCGTACGATTTGTCTAAACACACGTGATGGGTAGGTTTAGGGGCGGGGTCAGGGGGTAGGTCATTCGTACGAAATCATACGAATTTGGTAACTCGTAAAATATGTACGAATTAGCAAAAATCGTACGAATTTGTTCGAGTGAGGTCGTATGAATTAGTACGAATTAGCCTTTTTTTATAAGATTCATATAATTTACATTTAGGTAAATTATATGGATTTACATGAATTATATAAATTATTATATGAAAATTAAATGAAATTTTATGAATTATATGAAAATTATATGAATTTACATTTATATTTCTAAAGGTACCCTTTTGAAAAAGTACCTATCTAACAGAAAGTATGGATATATGATATGCATAAGGCTAATTAGTCTATGCAAATTTAATAGGATGTGGATACAAGTTATTATTATTGTATTTAATTAATAAAGTTATTAATTGTGTATTAATTATATGAATAATATACTTCTGCATTTGTATAAATAAGGCTGTGCTATTTATTTATTTTTGCCCATGTATACGGTTGTAAGGATTCGTGTAAAGTTTATATAACCCAATGTTGAGTTTTATTATTTTTGTGAGTTGTACTCACACATTGGATGATTTCGTTTATTGCAGTTTTTCACTTCTGAAAGTGAAAAGTAAATAAAAAAAAAATGAATTTGACTGTTCTTATTTACAGCAGTGAATAAGTGCCATTAAAAGAAAATAAGGTAGGCCTAGCACTGTTTATTGCTGAATTTAAAGCTTACTGAACTTTAAATGATTTTTGGATATCTACAGTTTTGCGTATACACACAACATAAGATTGGCCCCTCTGTATTAATTCTGGCCCCTCTTGTGCCCCCAGTTGAAAAAATCCTAGAATCGCGCCTGGTTTATAGGGTGACACACCAGTACCCTAACCGCATGCGTTTTGTTTTCACCGACAGGTGTCGCAGCAGGGCAGGGTCCCACGCATGCCATGCCGAAAAGAGCGGCTCCTCGGTGTCGTTTAAGAGCTAAAGAAATCTGAAGTCAAAAGTCTAATTGCTGGGTTGAAATCAACTCCGTTTAAGGAAAAAACAATTGCAAAATGAGCACTTCCATGGTACTTGCTTTTCAGGCCATCTGTAAAAGTTCCTGAAGCGCAACACATACCGTGTTGGTTAAACCTTTTATTAATAAATCAACAAACATTATAGGTTATACTGATTTACAGAAGAAGACATGTATTCAGAATAAGGACCTGCGTAAAAGATATTAGGCAAGGCAAGGCAAGATTATTTATATAGCACATTCCATACACAATGGTAATTCAAAGTGCTTTACATAGAGGAAATTAAAATAATCAAAAGAAATAAGAATACTTAAAACAATTAAGGTTTCGTGGCCATTTTAATTTGATCACGCCAAAAATTGGTAAAGCGTAACGCTATAAAACGTAGGCTATAAAAAACGTTGTCAATGTTTTTTAAGAAGGTCATAGCCAAAATGTGTGTTTCATGTAGTATAAAGTATTGCAGTTGACCATCACCACGCAAGATGCACACATTTCATGCATATGTGAGCTGTGTGTATCCCGCATTGATTGGCTGCTCCGCGCGCACAGGTTCATCCTCCCCCATGACGCGCGATAAATGTCCGTCCTCCCGCATCTCTGCTGACACACAATCACACTTCTGCATTGCGTCGCGCCGTCTGCGTTTGTTTTCTTCCAGAGGGGAATGTAACTTAACTCAGAAAACCTTTTAAGTTTTGTGCGCCTTTAGAAGAGTTTTTGTTCATGGGTTTGTTCTTTCGTTGGACGTGCGTTTAAGTTTTTTTTTTTTTTTTTTTTGCGTTATGAAAAACATAACCGGAGTTTTTGACAGCCTCAGTACAGATATGCATTCAAACCAGATTACCTCCAGCAGTTACCACAGTCTGCACAAATCCCAGGAATCCCCGACTCTCCCGGTCTCCACCGCTACCGACAGCAGCTACTATAATAATAACCAGCAGGCCGGACAGTGCGCAGGCTCTCCATACGACCAGATCAGCTCTTACCAGTACCAGAACACCAGCATGAACAGCGTCCAGTACAACACCAAATCATATGAACTGGGCTTCGGCAACGCGTTTGGCCCCTACGGCGCGTACGGCCCCTGCTCCTCTCCGACTCCTGCAGATGCTGGTAAATATCTCTCTCTTGTGGCAGTAAGCGTTGTAACATTAAAATGGAAATCTTACTATTTATTTACAGAGTATCAGTGAAGGAAAAAAAACGTTTATTGATACATAAATCATGATTTTGTAGAGCTGCTTTTAATTGCGCGTGCATGTAATGAATGCTAATATTTGAAACGTAAAAAACGTTTTTATTATTGCATTGCATTGCATTGCATGAATGTTTTATTTTGAATTCAGATCCTTCAGACGTTTTGTATTGTTTGTTTTCTCTCCTAGAAAAAGAAGAAAGTGAACCTGAAATTCGAATGGTTAATGGAAAGCCAAAGAAAATCAGAAAACCGCGAACTATTTACTCGAGTTTCCAGCTGGCGGCCCTGCAGAGGAGGTTTCAGAAGACCCAGTATCTGGCTCTGCCGGAGAGAGCCGAGCTCGCAGCATCACTGGGACTCACACAAACACAGGTACACACAAGCTTTACACGTATCAATAAAACACCGACAATAAAATAGCCGACGCTTTAATTAGGATTTTGTTTAATATAATAAATGCTCATTAATCTCTGACAAAATTGGGATTCAATAATAATAATAACAACACTCTAAAAAAATGCTGGTTTGTTTTAACACAAATTTACAAAATTGGGTTTAAACAACCCAGCATTTTTTAGAGTGAACACTAAAAACAACTTTTAAATCCTAATAACACTCCTTAATTCCTATATAATTTAACATTAAAGCGAACATTGTGTGTGTGAGGGTTAGGGTTGTAATGTGAAATTATCATCCAATACACATGGCAGCCTGATAATGAAAACAATTGGTAACACTTTACAATAAGGTTCATTAGTTAACATTAGTTAATTAACTAACATGAACTAAACATGAACAATTCATTTGTTACTGTATGTGTTAATCTTTGTTAATGTTAGTGAATAAAAATGCAGCTGTTCATTGTTTGTTCATGTTAGTTCACAGTGCATTAACTAATGTTGGTAAGATTTTAATAAAGTATAGTATGTTGAAATTAACATTAACAAAGATGAATAAATACTGTATAAGTGCAGGTCATTATTAGTTCATGTTAACTAATGTTAACTAATGAACCTTATAGTGTTACCAAACAATTATATATATATATATATATATATATATATATATATACACAGCATAAGTGCTGTCAAATCGATTAATCGCGATTAATCGCATCTAACATAAAAGTTTGTTTATATGTCTATGATAAAAGTTTGTGTTTATATAATATATGTGTGTATTTCTCTGTATATAGAACATGATTCAACAGAACATTGGTATTGTATAAAGCGCTTGGTTTAATGCTACTCTAGATACTGAATAGTTTGCTTGTTTTCCAGGTAAAAATCTGGTTCCAAAACCGTCGTTCGAAGTTCAAGAAGTTGTGGAAAAGTGGAGAAATCCCACCCGATCAGCACGTGGCATCCAGTGAGTCTCCACCTCTCCACTCACCGCCGCTCAACACGGCCTGGGACTTCGCGCACAGCCAGAGAATGAACCCGGTGAACACGGGGGGTTTGTCCCAGAGCAACAGCCCCCCGAACACTGCCACCCCTTCCTTTCTGACAAACTACTGGTACTCATCCACGAACTCTGCGGCCCATCTACAGCCACATCACCACAACACATCTCTCAGCGCAGGCACCATATTTTGACTCGACTGACTGGGGCAAAATCATTTTGTGAACTTGCAACAAATGACTTTCAGGCCTGCCCTGGTGAGACCTCTTCACCTTTGCCACGTTGATCATTGCCGGTGCGTTTTGGGGCGTAACACTGTATGCAATGTCGTCAACAAGCAGACACTAAAGAATCAAACATATACAATTATTTTTGTATTTATTTATTTTTGTTCTATGGGTGGTACATCAATGGATTAAAAGCAGTTGTTCGGTGAACTACTATTATCCAAAGCCTAGCGAACTCACGCGGACATTATTGGAGTGAATATTAATGCAGCAGGGTGTAGCACATGTAGCACAACCTGAAGCTGTTTTGGTGCCTTTTGAAAATAACTTAACTGTCCTTTCCCACCGTAAATGTGTTTCATGCGCCTGTCTTTAATTTCAGACTTTTGTTCGGTTTATATTTAGTATACGGAAGGTAAGTTTTGGTGTTCTGTACGTGTGTTCCACCGCTGTTGTCTTTCCTATAGATTATCATAGAGGGTTCTCACTGTTTTTAATAATACAAAAGGACAAAACACTAATGAAAAACACTCGAAAGCTACTGATTGTCCTGAAGCCATGTTCACATGTAAAAGGATATTTTTTTCTCTGGAGTACTTTGTTTTATTTATTTTGAAATCCGAATGAGCGTTTCTGCCACTACAATGATTAAGACTTATTTAAATAAAATGTTTCATGTGAATGCATTGTATTTGTATCAATTCATTGGGGATTTCGAATGTTTTCTCTTTAGTTCACTGTTGGTATGGGGGGGGGGGGGGGGGGGTTCTCGTAGATCTGTCCACGCCTCCCTCGTTTTGCTTCGGCGCCAGTTGAGTCTCTAGTCTTTAATAAGTCTGGCTGGAGACGCTATGCAACGTCTTGTAAAAGTTTCACACAAAACCCACAAATTCACCTTTTGTTGTCTAACGTGACAGGTGTGTCTTGCTTGCTCTGTAAGTAGGTCAAGTGAGTTTATGCAACTTTTTCGGGTTTAAAAAATACCAGGAGCGCTGTTCTTTAAAAAAAAAAAATAACTAAAGGCAACTGGTCTGACTTTCCCTAATTTTTTCGGACACATAAAACTTGAAGACAAAGGCTCTGGGAGCCCGACAGAAGCGAGGCGCGCTACAGAGCCTCGGGCTGGGAATGAGCGCGCAAACACGCGCCGGCATGAAGGCGTTCGGCTGGGTTCAGACTCTCTGGAGTCACAGCTCTGCGCTCCAGACTTTTTATGAAGTCAGCGCGGACAAAAAAAAAAAAGAAAAGAAAAAAAGAAGCAGGCTCACAAATGCCCCGAGCTAAACAACATGGAAACATTTCTCACAACTTCCACCACCCCACGCACAATCCAAGGCCTTTGTAATATGGACTCGGCTGCGTATAGACTGCATTAATTTTCCATGCCATATAACAAAGGACAACTTGTTAATTTGTTTAGAAGCTTCGTAGAAAATAAAATGCCGAATACGTTCAGTGGAATCTGTCATGCAACATGCTCAAACTGGCACTGCAAATGATGCATGCACATTTAATGCAACTCACTCAAAGCGAAAGGTTATTGCTCAAATAAATTTTTTAGTAAAATCGACGTTGATGCCTTAGTTTTTTTTAAGTAAAATCAACTTGGATGTTTAAGTCATGTCAACTTAAATTAAATTAAACTGCCTTAAAATGTTGAATTTTGTATAGGCTAACTTATACAAATATTGAAAATTGCTTAACTTATTTTGATGAGTTAAAGCAATGTAAAAGCATGTTGCCATAACTTATTGATCATATTCACTTGTAAATAAGAACATGCTGTTTTAGACGCTGTTATAACAAAACATGAATGAAGTTATTACAGTGTCCTGTTATTAATTATGTACGACAAGTGTCACTAAAGTGTCAATAATTTTTTTTTGTTGGTTTAACTTAAACATTTTAAGTTAATTGAAATTTTAAAAAATGAGGAAATGAAGGACAATGAAGGAGATTGGTTTAATCAACGGAAACTCAAAATATTGTGTTATCTGAACCGCATACATTATATTAAGTTGATTTGACAAAAGAAAAAATGTTCAATCAAATCATGAAAATATATTTTTTTACAATGCAGTTTACTTCTCAAATGAAAAGCTAAATGTTTGAACCACACGTGGCTTTCCATTCTTTTTAAAATAATATATTGCGGGTTGCTTTTCGAGTTACATTAATTTGTTTATTTGAGAGTTGAAAAGCTGTAAAGCAGACAGATGTAATGAGGATGTATCCTGTCAGTGATTGCCACATTACAAGATATTATGGTGTCGCCCCGGGCTAAGACGCCCGTGCTGAAATATGTCCCGCAGAGATACACAAGATCCGTTCAGCAGAATAAACACGACAGGACACGGGAATATGGGCCATGTTTAACCAAGAGCGGTAAAGGCCTAAGCCGCGCCTCAGTGTTAATGCAGAACAGTTTACGCGCGCCGTCCCTTGAGACAAGCTTAACCCGATCAAGAACAATGAAATACCACATCAATTCATGTGAACTCTTATTCCAAACGTAGAAGAAGCCAGACTCTTAAGCACATGCACCAACGGTGTTTGCACCTCTTTCTGTCAGCCCGTGTTTTTGCTGTCTCGGTATATCTGGCAAAAATAGCCAGAGTCCGTGTTAACATTGATTAGGTCTCTCGGAATGGACAAGTGTCACACCTTGCAAATGCAAACGAATATGAACTTGTATTGCATCTGTCTGGAACACATGCTCTGTCTGCATGCCTTTCTCTCTGAAAGATTAGCAATGATGTGGGTTTAGACACTTCCGGAATCCTGTAGACAACTTGAAAAATGCCATACCCCATCCCTAATTTATACTCTGATCTGTAATTTTACCCACAATTGCTCCAGTTGAGCATTCTGGCTCCCCGATCTGAAAGCCTGCAATTACTATATAATTCTTCGCAATTTTAGATGTCCTAATATGGACTATAATTTTTGCGCAAGACAATTTCCAGCTATTTCAAGCATCAACATTGTCAAAGTTGTATGTACATAATAAATGGTAATATCAATGCATAGTTTTTAGCATAACATCTTGACTCGCGCGATAATTATATCCGTTTGGAGCCTACGCAAAATTAGCCTGAATTGCATGGTAACTGCTGCTTTAAATTTTTAAAAATTACTCATAATTTTCCCAAAGATTACCAAGATCTCGAGTGCACAATGTCATCAGCGTAATGAGGAGTAAACATTTATGCTAATAATCAGCAATTTTTTTCCATCAGCTATAAAGAGGGAAAATAAAGCCGGATTTTTCATTCCTGCTCGGAGAGCGTCTGTCAGCTCTCGAGCCCCGCTAGAGGAGCACATTCTGGGACCCAAAGAGCCGGGACCCGTGGCATGACTTCTGGATGCTCTTTTCACATTCTTCCCTGTCTCTCAAGAGCGAGATTAGACATCTTATAGACGATGTTCTCCTTTAATATACCGTAAGGTAAGAAGGATGCGCATGCATTTTATATATAGGCTACATTTTATTTGCTTATTTTGGGGGGATTTGCATGCCTTATTATGCGTATTGTGAGGTATTATGATAAGAGAAACGAAGTGGTTTGAAATTAAGATTTGTCGTACTTTTGCGTGCATTTAAGACATTTAGGCTATAGAAAATCCGCCGTAGCCTATTTCTATAATAAGTAGGCTAACATTAATAAAAACCGTTGTCGCTATAAGCGAATTGGTTGCTTTGAACGAATGTGTTGCCGGCTGAAAGATCTTTTTCGGTTGTCTAGAGAAAACAACATATAGCTACAGCATTGAATCAGGCTAACGTTAATAAAGTCTGTCTGAAATTGCGAGATGGTTTGTCTATAGAATCCAGTCGAAAATAAAGCAGCCCTTGTTCTATAATTTCACCTCTGCCTTCATCACTCCGACATTGTGCTTTTGCTCATTTTGATCCCTCTTCCCATTGACAAATCTCTCGGTATACACCTGCAAGCAATTTGCCAGCCTTACTTATAACTACCGCTGCGCACCTATTTCACTCTTTTTTTTCCCCTTTTCTTTTTTCTCCCCCCATCGCACAGCAAATTTTCTTTCAGTACGCTATCTCTTTTGTTAACAAAAGATTCCACGTGCGAAAAAAAATTGCTCATAATTATCCCGTAGATGGGAAGCTGCATTAGAATAAGTAAGGAGGGAATGACTGTAATTATGTCTGGTTTGATGGGCCCGGCGCGTAATCAAGAGGAGAATAGAGTGAAATAACGCTGACCCTCTCTGCTCCACAGCTGCATGTCGGAGAAAGAGACAGAACAGCACGGCTTCTTCTTTTATTCCTTCACAACAGTTTTGTTTTTGGATATGTTTTGGAAAAAAATGTATGACATATTTTAAATTTGTCAGAGATTGTCAGACAGTTGTCGGGCATAAGATTAAAACAAATGTGTTGCAATGATTCATATCAGTGTTAGCCAATTATTAACAAATTTTCATCTAGAAGGTTAGACAGGTTATTTATCTGTATTATGAAAATATAGCGAGGCAGCTGGAAATCCCTGAGAGAACGCATTGGGACGAAAAAAGGTTACCCTTTATTTTAACGTGTCTTTGTTGCACTGTATTTACACATTTAAGTACTGAGTAATATTAAGTAACTACGTGTACATAATATCGGGTTTGGTTTATGGTTAGTTGCATGTAAATGTGCATAATTTATAGTTATTACTATACATGTAACATAATGTAACAATGACACTGTAAAATAAAGTGTTACCAAAAAAAAAAAAAAGATGAGATTTAGTTATGATAGACACTCTATCAAAAACATAATACGAATTAATAAACATTATGATTCCACGGCAGAGACTGTAAATAATAATGGTAACGCTTTATTTGAAGGTGACATAGTTACACGTTACATGTACTTTCTATAGTAATAACAGTAAAGTATGCATAATTACAAGTAACTAACCCTAAACCAAACTCTAACCATAACCGTAACTCTATGGTAAATAAATGTAATTAATATTACACAGTAGGCTACTTATTTGAGTAAGTACAATGTAACGTCACCTTAAAATAAAGGATCACACTTTTTTAAGGTGTCATTATTACAAAGTAATTATATATGTATGTACTGTGTAACATTAATTAACTTTACATGTACTTACTATAGGGTTAGGGTAGGATTAGGATTTGGTTGAGGGTTAGTTGCATGTAATTATGCATAATTAACTTTTTATTACTATGGTAAGTACACGTAACATACGTAACAAGGCCACTGTAAAATAAAGAGTTACCAAATAAAGTGTCACCAGAATAAAGCTACTATATTGCATAAACAAAGATAACAACAACAACAATAATAATAATAATAATAATAAACGTAGGTATATGTAATGTATTGTTTATTTTATTTTATTTGCAGTGTTATCAAATTGAATACGTCTTAAAACTATTAATGGAGTCAAAGAGAAGCGAGCTTGTGATCAGAGCGCGCGGGCCATTTCCTGCTTTGACCAGGCCATTTTTAAAGACCACACATGAAGACTGTCAAAATTTGTCACAATAATTGCTGCACCCCCCGCACTGAAATCCCAACTCTCAATGCTCAAACAGCAGAGGCAAGCTTTCATTAATTCCTAATAATTCTTAGATTTTTCTTTCTATTAATTATGTGTTTGAATCTCATTTAAAGTCGTAAATTACTATCATTCTTCATTTAATCAATAATAAACTAAAAAATCAAATTACAATATCAAGGGTTAAAATTGGAAACAATCTACCCAAGAAAGAGCAAAAGACCTTTTTGGAAATATCCTTAGTTTTGTGATGCCGGCTTCTATCTGCATCAGAATTTTCTTAAAATGCGCAGTTAAACCATCAGCCCCAAACAAAAGAGATGCTGAACATCATGTCATTCTTTCCCTTTCTGCATTCCCCCTCCTCCAGAGCCAGGCTTTCTTCATCTGGCCCTCTGTGAGCGGCACCTGCCCGATTATTCACTTAACACACGGCCATCAAAGCAGCCACACAAGAGCAGAACAGAGCTTATAGCGGATAAACGAAAGTGAAAAGAAACAAGTGCCCTTATTGTCGGAGGAATTACTGTGTTACAGAAACCACCACAAGATTAATCGCTGGTTCAGATTGCAATGAAAAGCTAGAGGTGTTTTGGAAAAGACACAAAACGGCCCCATTCTGCAAGATTTTTTGTTGTTGTTGAAGATTTTTGTACAGGTTTACGCTAATATCTGGCGTAATATTAATTCAATATTTTCATCAAAATGCTTTGTATTGCGTTGTCTGTTGTCCTTTTGGATATTTAAAATAGCTTGGCTAAATATTGACATGTTTTCTTGGCATCTATCAGGGCAAAATAAGTTTGTTTTTTCATATTGCATTAATTCGTGGTATTCCGTTGCGTAATCAGTTGCCTGAGTTTCATTCATTTTTGACAAATCAATAAACGTTGCGATGACATTTTGTAGCTTCTTTCATAAACAGATTTTTACTGTTCGAGTTTTACACATTATACAAGACTCCATGAAACAAAACAATAAATTAATATGAGCGGTAAAGCTATAAAACTATTTTTTTTTCTCAATGTGAAACGGAAAAACACATGAATTTTAATAAACACAATTATGTTTAGATCCTTTTGCACAAATTATTCAGCACACAACGAAAACGACTATTTCTGTACATTAGAGCTGTCAACACTTCCCATCTGACGGTGATGATAGACGCGTTTATCTGATCCAAAAACAAAAACAAAAAAACACTCGGCTTTACAAATTGGGTTCAAATCCGAGGGAAGTGTCTCTGTTTTATAGTGCAGCCTCACATCATAATTTAAAGAACATTAGTTTTAAATAAAACATACAAACAGATTAAAAACAAAACAAATTCTAAATAAGTTATATTTAAATAAACACAAAACGCCATACATACAAAATAACTTTGTTTAAAGATTTCTTTGTTCCCTTTAAAATGGGGGAAAATCATACTTGCTCACGGTGTGATTTATCCCAGTTTTTACACATTCACCGCGCCATGGCGAAGCCTGAAGCGACTGAATCTCGCGTGAGATTTGGGAAAATATGATGCTCATGGTGATCTCACAGCCCGTGTTGTGGATAATTCCAATTTTCTTATGGAAAATTACAAATTTTGAAGAAAACGAAATACATTTCTGACTAGGGTACAGTTTCATGATTTTTTTGTTTTGTTTGTTTTTTACACAACAAAAGTCACTGAAAGTGGGAGAGTAGCAGCTTTGATTCGACCCACTTTCCAGGCATTCCCTTCAATTGAAAAAGAGACTTGTTTCCTCTCCGGTTCGGACGGCTCTCGTTCAGTCCACGCCGGCCAGTGTGTGTCAGCGGTGTGAGAGTGTCTCCGGATCACATCTGGTCTGGGCTGCGGAGTGCCAGTGTGTGTAAGGCCGCAGAGTGACTGGCCTGTGTCGGGTCCCCTGAACTGGGCCATTGGTGGATAGAGGGGCGGGGTTGTTTTAGCAGTCCTGGTTCACATGAGTTGCGGCTGCTGCATAGTGTCCTGGTGTGCTGTGGGATACCATGAGGTGTAACTGGGAATATACGAGGTCGGCGTGGATGTTTTGACGGTGGCGGTTGAGTTCCAGACAGGCGCTATGGATGGAGATCCGGTGGACAGTCCGCGCCCGTTAGCCAACGCGTTTGTGTCTATTGTTCCTCCGCCCTGCTTCATCAGTTTCTTAAACTTGGAGCGTTTATTCTGAAACCAGATCTTCACCTAGAAAAAAAGAAAGAAAGAAAGGCAAATCAAACAGAGCGAGCGACAACACCTGTTTCTGTTATTGAATCGCGCGTAATCGAATGAGTTCGAAAAGAACGCGGTTATTAACTTTTACGTTCTAAAATATTTCTCTCAAACAGACTCGTGTTATAAAGTCGATTTCCAAAACAACATGCGAAGATCAAATTAATTTATGAAAAAATAAACTTTTTAAAAAAAATTGTTGTGTAGGCTACATGTGACATGTTTCGCGTCCGTTATCCTAAAGTCTCTAAATGATTTGATTGAAAGCGCGTAAAAGCACATGCCTGTGTTTGCGTGAGCCCCAGTGACGCGGCGAGCTCGGCTCTCTCCGGCAGAGCCAGATACTGGGTTTGCTGGAACCTCCTGTTCAGAGCCTGCAGCTGGAGACTGGAGTAGATGGTTCGGGGTTTGCGGATCTTTTTGCCTTTCCCGTTGAAACGCACCTCTCCTCCTTCCACCACGGTGTTTTTCTCTGACTCTGGTGCTGGGGAGGGAGAAAGAAAAGAAAGTGTCTCACAAACTGTGCGGCTCACATCACTGTGCACAAGTTTTACAGGCGGCACTTTAGGTATAATTAGCCTTAATTGCATACATTGTTTATAGCATTACGCAATAAATAATTACCAAGCCTAATAACAGCACATCTGGGCTACTCCAGTCCAACATTCTTGCAGTGAGCAGACAAATGCAACGACCAGTGAAGACCAAAATAGGCTACGCGCAGCATTTCTTACCTGGGTCCTCCAGTCTCGTCTGCGCCAAAGCCGAGTTGTTTGGGTAAGTCTGCACGGTGCTGAGGTACGGGCTGGAGGAATGGCTACCGACCGAGTTGACGTATGGATAAGGCAGGGATCTGGGGAAGGACGGAGCCGGGCTGTATGCGCTGTCGTGCTGCGGGTGTCCGGACGAGTGTAAACAGTGCATTGAATAATGTCCGTGGGTCATGGATGAAGGCGACATTTGCTGACTTGGTGGCCCAAATTCCATGAACACGCTCTTTCCTGAGACTGGGCTGTTTAGACTCTCTGGTATTGTAGACATGGTCATGTCTCTCGCTCTCTCTCTCTCTCTCTCTCTCTCTCTCCCTGCTTTTTTGTTTTCTTCTATGATCTGAGTGAAGGATGGATCCCAATTTAAGCTCAACGGATTTTTTCACTTTCCATTCATAAGAAAATGTAGTTTGTCTCTGTGAAAAGTCTAGGTACGATGCTGTGGATCCACACAAACTCGCTCAAAGGTTTGAATCAGGGAATCATGAATATTTATCCAAGGTGCTCTCTGATTGGTCCACTCCCTCCAAGAGCGATGCGGATTGGTAATCTAAGGGTCGGGTCCGACGGACCTGATAAACTCAAGAAATAAGACCAACCTGTGACTCTATTGTGTAATGCTAATGTAGAAATTTAGGGAATGGACCAAGACACATAGGCCGTATGTGGAAGGCTCAAACCACCAAATGTAACACACGCAATGAAAAATATCATCATTTTGATATTTGGTCTTGATAACAGTTTTAGGCCTATTAGTTAACAAACAAAACAACACTACACATTAAAACCAACCATTAACATGTCTGAACAAACGTTTTCTTTCAGTAACAATTTGTTCTCGTGTCAATAATGGAATTATTATTAGCCTATATTATCTTCATCATCAATTCATTGACTTAATATAAACAAGTGTAAACAACAAACAAAGTGATATGACATTTAAAAAAATAATATAATAAACAAATTTAACATGGCCCTAAATTTTATGCTGGTTACGGCATCGTGAACAAAATAAAAAAATGTAACACCTACAAATATGATTAAGTACAGGTATAAATGTGTGACTCCAAGCAAAGATGAATTACTTTGATGATTCATTTGGTTAAAATGCTAGTCTCGAGTGCTTGAAGACACAGCTGAAACCAGCTAAATTTGCATAACACTGTTGTTTCATTTTCATACGCATAATTAGCTGTGTATTTAACACTTGCGGATTCGCATCACTCGCATGCGCGCGTGGGTTGAATTATTGCGCGCGAGGATCAGAGAAACAGGTCGATGTAAATTTGGTTGATATTGCAGTGCGTTAGTTTATATAGCAATGATTATTGTAAAAAAAAAAAAAGATTTTTGTTTTAAGAACCTTAAATCCGATTAATTAATCCACATGTGACAGACCAAATAATGCTGAAACCAGTAAAGAAATATTCAAAGCATGAAAACAAAGCAACAAATAGCACATCTTCACCAAGGAAATATATGTTCCCCACGTTAAATTGCCTACTATTTAAAGTCTATACACTATTCTATGACGACAGCTACAATATCACAACACACAATGACAGTTTAGATTAAGATTCGAATAAACTCAAAATTATATCTAATTAATCCATCAAAATGGCTATTTCTAAATACAAAAAGAGATACGTTTCTTACGGTTGTCGGTATCAACTCTTTACCTGGGATTAAGGAAGCAAAAATTAAAAACCACTAACCACTAAAAATCGATTAATCATATCAATGTTAATTATATTTGATAATGAGTTATTTTACCAGCTGACTAGGGAATCGTTGCGACCATTGCTTGCCATTAAACTGAACACGGGCCATAATCTCTGCTCTTAGATTTCATTATTAGTTAGATAATATAGGCTACATTTCTCTGTCAAACCTTTTCAAAGAACACGCAGCATTTTGAAGACTCACTCGAGGTACGGTTCGGATAACTGTGACATAAAAAAAATGGTGGATGCATGTAGAGAATGGAGTGACACGAACTGATTGAAACATTTTCCCACATGTGAAGCTTTTTCAGAAACATTTTTTTGCAAAAGGACACCATTCAATAAAACAATTTAGATATTGGATAATACGGCGAGCTGAAAATATATCCGTCTTCAAGACAATGAATAAAATGGGAAACACTTTATTTTACAGTGTCATTGTTACATATATGTTACATGCAGTTACTATAGTAATAATTATAAATTGTGCATAATTACATGCAACTAACCCTAAACCAAACCCTAACCCTAACCCTATTTTAGTTATTACTTAGCCTACATGTATAATAACAGCTGACACATTAAAATAAAGTGTAAATATAAAATGCAAACAGAAAAGTGTAGAGAAAAAGAAAATGCTTATTTCCCATGAAGCAGAAGAGAACGAGACGTGCTCGTACCGTTTGTGTGCGACTCCCCGTTGAACACGGATCACACCTCCACATCCTCCTTTCATTTCTATCTCTCTTTCTCAGTCTCTGCGTTTGTCTTTCCCCCAGTCTTCATAAAAATGGTCATAATCTCCACACGTATTCACTTACATTCCGTCATGATAAAATACATTAAAAACAGAAAAGCCTCGAGCAAAAGTCCAGAACATTGGACACAAATGTCATTGGCACCAACACGATGCCCAGATGATATGGACTGACGAGCACACTTTAACAATACCTGTTAGATATCCACCGTCCTCAAAATGGTCCAATTTAAAGCAATTTGTATTTCAAATGACATTTGCAATCTACCACGGGGATTCTTCAACAATAGCGAAAATAATGACGGTATTACAACCGATAATTATCATCATTCAGATCACGCCGGACAAGTTACACGTGTTTATTCTCTTCGATTAATCAGAAAATTATGGGGAAAAACAAAATAAAATGTTATGGCATAAGGACAGCAAATTTCACGTATACAAGACTCGCTTCAAAATTGACAACTACACAAATTCCCAAACGTGTACAATTACTTAATTAGAAAAAAAAAAAAAAATGTCCTTGTATTTCCAATGATTTATAATTACGCAATGGCATTTGCTGTTGTTTTTGTTGTTATTATTATTTTATTGAGTATGATCTTTAACGTTTTAGGATGAGTCGTGGGAAATCCGCAAAAATGTATATTAATAAAACTATAAAGAAGGTTCTCTTATACAGATTATGTAATGATATTAATAGTTCACTTCAGAAAACATTCTACCAAAAGGATTCTTTTACACTGAATTGCCTTTAGAATCTATAATGAATAAATAAATAAAGTAGAAAATAAATCTATTTATTGCCAAAAAGGTTCTGCTATTCTAAATACTATAGGGCCATTTTCAAGAGTGGGTTTAGTTAAATGAAAATGGCATTTCATTATTTATAATACATTATAGACATCACATAACAGTATCTTCCTATCCATGTGGTCAGTGCCATAATAATTATACAGCACATTCCAGCTGCCCACCATGTCAGGATGAAACTACAGCAGTTTTCTGTTTAGAGCGACTCAAATAAAGCAGCATGTGAGATGACGAGTTATAGAGCACTTTCCAGAGAAGAGGATCATCAAGAATGAGAGTCAAACACCTGCTATGCTGCCCTGATTTAGTGCACCAGGCCAGTTCAGACCCACTCAGTGTGTGTGTGTGTGTGTGTGTGTGTCTGTTTCAGATACAGACATGAGCTGACAAACTGCTTCAAAAAGAGACAATTGTGTATATGGCCTCATCCGTCCATTGAGGAGGTCTGATTCTGAACTGCAAAGGGACTTTCAAATGTGCGTCCGGAGTGAATTTAAAGTCCCTGATTAGTTTCTGTTTTTAGTGGCACGGGATTCTTTTTTAATTGTTTCAATATGAAGCTTTCTGGTTAGTGTGACCCATTAGATGTCCTGTTGATAAAGCGTTCCTGAGAACCAAACCCCAAATCCGGACAGATGTCTAATTATTTTAAAAATGGTTAACAGATTGTAAGACATCATCACAATGAAACCAGGAATTAATAACAGTGACATTCCTGGGTCTGGTGTAATATGAAAGTTTAAAATTGATATTACTGAATATGTAACTATGCATTTTAGTGTGAGAAGAGCACAGTGCTTTTTGTGTTAGTGTCTGTTAATAACATGTTTCCAGCGTTTTTAAACGGGGTCAATGACATTTCCAGTCAATTCAATTAAGTTGAATCAAAATGCGAATTAAATTCAAACTTGACATAACGTATAGACATAAATAAGTTGTAGTGCACCACATAAGCTGTAATTCAGCCTAGACTTCATGTGTTTGCCTCATGTGAAAGTGCTTGCTACTGACAGACCCTACATTATGATGGAGGGGTCTTTCAAATTAAAGAGACAGAGCACTTATGAAATGGAATATGATCCCATTATCATATTAGTAAAACACACACATATTCACACTGAAAACTGCAGTGTTAAAAAAGCCCTAGATTCAATTTAGTTTTCCTCCATCACATATTTGGACTGAACGAATCAGGTTTAAGTGGAGCGGTTTAAAGCGTTATTAAGACGGCATTAACATTGACATCTCAACTGGATGCGTTTGTGTTTGAGGATGCACATCGGTCCAGTTTTCATCCAGGGACTTACAATTACACCTTATTTACAAAGCGACACACACCCGCTAATAGGAATTCAACCCTGTTCTTTCCCACCGGCAGCAAAGACACACAGCGGCAAATTCGATCAGACGTAATGATCCAATTTCAGAGTATCTGATCAATCCTGATGATAAAACAGCCGTGGGGTTTTTCTGGGTTCCTCCTGGAGGGTTTTAAGCAGGCAGCACCTTTAATTTGCTGCTCCACTGAATTCCAATGGACAAAGAGACACTGTGAGAGTATTTGTTGAGACTGAGAGCAACATGTGAGAGAGAGGACACTCTGAGGTGTAACCACAGATTACTGTGTCAATCAGTATGGAACGGGTAAGTGTGGTGTTAAAATAATGCAGCTGGGGGGTTTGTAATGTTTTGTTTCCATTAGAACGTCAAAGGCTGAAGACGAAAAACTCTTAAACTCCTAACTCTTAAAACTCTTCAAAATAAAGGTTCTAAAGCGGAAGTGAAGAACATTTTGAAATTCTAAAGAACGTTGTTCCACTATAAAGAACCGTCTCCTCCCCAATGGAAAGGTTCCATTGATGTTAAAGGTTCTTTATGGAACCATCAATGCCAATAAACCATTTTTTTCTTGAATTGCGATTTAATCAAATAAATAATAAATGCGCAAATCTTATATTTGTAGAATTTTACATTGCTTTAGATAGACATTCAGGTTTTTTTTTTTTTTATCATGCGGTTTCTGTTTCATCCAAATTTTTTACATTTTTGTAATGCGTAATCGTTGGTGTTTTTGTGCTCGTAACAGTCACTGAACCCTCTTTGGAGATCAATTCAGAACAGAATCAGTTTTAAAACTTAGTTTAAATATTTAGTTCGCTCATGAAACGCTAGAGGGCGCAGTGTGATCAGTTCTTTACATGCAATCTGCGAGCAATCACATCATTACCACATGTCCAACGCTATCTCAGACCAATTCGTACGATTGAGTACGAAGTGGCTATTTCTTACGAATTCGTATGACCTCATTTGTACGAATTCGTACGATTTGTCTAAACCCCAGTGATGGGTAGGTTTAGGGGTGGGGTCAGGATTACCTCATTCGTACGAATTCATACGAATTGTGCAACTCGTAAAATATGTACGATTTAGCAAAAAAA